ATCCTCACCAACACTTGCTGTTTCCTGTTTTTTTTATTTTAGCCATTCTGACAAGTGTGAGGTGATCTCTCATTGTTGTGGTTTTGATTTGTATTTGATGATGAGTGATGTTGAGCATCTTTTCATGTGTCTGTTGGCCATCTATGTGTCTTCTTTGGAGAAATGTCTGTTCATTTCTTCTGCCCATTTATTTTTTTTTTATTTTTGGGTGCTGAGTTGTTTAGGTTCTTTATATATTTTGGATATTAATCCTTTATCAGATATGTCATTTGCAAATATCCTCTCCCATCCTGTAGTTTTTGTCTTTTAGTTTTTTATTGTTTCCTTTCCTGTACAGTAGCTTTTTATTTTGGCATAATCCCAGTAGTTTATTTTTTATTTTAATTCCCTTGCTTTAGGAGACATATCTAAAAAAAAAAATGTTGCTATGGCCGATGTCAGAGAAATTACTGCCTGTACCATCTACTAGGATCTTTACAGTTTTAAGTCTCATATTTAGTTTTTCAATCTATTTTGAATTTATTTTTGTGTATGGTGAAAGGAAGTGATAGTTTCATTCTTTTGTATGCAGCTGTCCAATTTCCCAACACTATCTGTCAAAAGGACTATCTTTTTCCTATCGGATATTCTTTCCTGCTTAGTCAAAGATTAATTAAGCATATAATTATGGGTTTATTTTCAGGTTTTCTATTTTATTCTATTGATCTATGTGTCTATTTTCGTACCAGTACCATACTGTTTTGATTATTACTTTGTAATATAACTTGAAATCTGCAATTGTGATAACTCCAGCTTTGCTTTTATTTTTCAAAATTCCTTTGGCTATTTGGATATTTTGTGGTTCCATATAAATTAATTTTTTTCTAGTTCTGTGAAAAATGCTGTTGGTATTTTGATGAGAATTGCAATAAATCTTTTTAAAATTTTTTATTGATTTTTTTGAGAGAGAGAGAGAGAGAGAGAGAGAGAGAGAGAGAGAGAGAGAATCTTAAGCAGGCTCCACGCTCAGTGAGAAGCCCTATATGCGGCTGGATCCCACAACCCTGGGATCATGACCAGACCTGAAATCAAGAGTCAGATGCTCAACTGACTGAGCCACCCAGGTGCCCCTGCTATAAATCTTTAGGTTACTTTGGGTAATATAGACATTTTAACAATATTTGTTCTTTAAGATGCAATTTTATACCTGCAGTTTTTATAATAGTATCTTCATGATCATTTTTTTCATGATATTAAAATATTATTGGGACACTTAGCATGGAACCTGCTTGGGATTATCCACACTCAGCATGGAGCCTGCTTAGGATTCTGTCTCTCCTTCTCTCTCTCTGCCTCTTCTCCACTCATTCTCTCTCTCTCTCTCAAAATAAATAAATAAACATTTAAAAATATTATTGTATTATTTGCAATACCATAATTTTCAGTTTTCCTGCATTATTTAACCATTTTCCATTATTCACATTTTATGTTGGTTATGGTGCTTATCATATGTAATAGAAAAACAAGTATCTGGTTTCCTCCTTGAGATTTATAACTAGAATTCAGAATCCTCACTAACATGTTTAAAAATCCAGTTCATACTAACTTAAGTGAATAATTCTATTATAAAGGTTCTGATGTGTCAGAAAGCAAGTAGATCTTAAGAATATGTTTTTAGGAACATTCTACACTCTTGATCTATATAGAAGAAGGGTACATTGTGATAATAAGGTCCATTGATACTTCCTGAGCTTCTTACAGTCCAGGCACACAAAATATTATTGGCCCTTAATGATACTTAGTATGAGACTCTTGAAGTTACTTGGCTCAGGGTTCCACCATCAGAACAATCAATTTTGTATAGAACTGAATCATCTGGAAGACAAGTTTAAGCTTTGTGGATGTGAATGGGGGATGAGGTTTGTGATACATATTTTCAAGTTAATTTTAATAAACATTATACTGCTAAATATTTCCATGTGAATATTATAAAGTGTCCATGTCACATTACCTCATTAGCCCTGCAAAATGTTTATTTATAAGCCAATTTGATCAGTTAACAAAATGTATATATTTTGAAATTATATTAACTTGATTCTAATTCAAAAAGACCATACATAAATTTGAGACATTGGTGAAAATCTCCTCAATCCCTTCCTTTCATTAGCAAAATGTGTGCCAGAGAAGAGCAGGAGTTCAAGCATATGCAGATTGTGTTGTGGGACACTACTGAGTTTTGACATTCCATCTGTTCTTGACTTTGCACACATCTATTCTATATAGAGCAATATTTCCACAAAATTTATCTTATATGAATAGCACATATACCTAGTTTCTTAACTCTATTGCAGAATTCAATTTTTATAAATCCTATACTGTCCTTTTGGTATATCCCAGAGACTGCTTTGTCCACGTTACCAATAACCTTCAAGATGGACAACTTGAGATCATTCCTCTGATCTTATCTTACTTGAGCTATCAATAGCATTTTTCACAGTTGATCAATCTCTCCTTAACGTTGACCCTTTTCTGCTAGGGGATGGTGGTGGTGGGCTTCCAAGTCATCATATTCTTTTGGTTTTAAGCACTGTTTAGCAGCTCATTTTCTGTCTTGTTTTAGAGCTGCTTTTCCCAGAACCAAACCTGATCTGTCCTAGAGCCCTTTGTCTGTACTCTCATGTGATCTCTTACAACCTCATGCTGTAAATGGCACTGATTTGCCCCTGACTCCCAAATGAGATTCTGATTCTACTCTAGACTTTATACTTGGCCATGTCTACTCTCTCTGCTTATACATCTAAAATGCATCTCAAGCTTATTAAAACTCTAAATTTTAGCATTTTTCACAATCTCTCTAGACTTTTCCATCTCAGTATACTGCACAAGTAACTACAGTCAAATTCTGTTATGCTGTGTTGGTCTTTTCATCACCCACACCCAAATCTATCGGTAAATCTTATCAATTCTAGTTCGAAACCATTTCCTTGATTCATTACCTCATCCCCATCTCTACTGGCCATTATAGACAAATTGCTTTCATTTTAGTATCTTCCCAATATTTTCCTTCCTTTCATCTCTCTTTTATTATTCCTCACATATATTAGTTTTGGTGCCATTTGCATCCTCCTCCATCCTTCTCTTCCTTCTTTCTTTTTTTTCTAGATTTTTACCCATATATGTGCCTGTATGTATATGCATGTCAGTTTTATCTTTTTTCTTCACCTCCCTAGCTTTTTCCTTCTCTTCTAGTTCTTTCTTCTCCTTCATACCTACCGTTAAAATATATTATCAAACTTCACATAGCCTTACCTATATTCCTGCCTGCCTTTTCTTTGGCAAATATATACACATGTTCTTAGTTTTTTTCAATATACCAAACTAAATCCTATTTTATATTCTTCTTTTGTTTGTATGCTACATTTCTTATACAATAAAATAACTATATAATCCTACCAAATAAAGGTATAGATTTTATTTTAATAGATTATTTAATAGATGCAAAGTCTGTGATATGTATAATAACTTATGTATTATTTTAATAGATGCAAAGTCTGTGACATATATAATAACTTATGTCACTATTCATTTATTGATGATAATTTCCTTTGTTTCCAGTTTTTTCTAACTATGAACAATTAAACAATATTGCATTAAGTGTTCATGGGAATATCCTTTTATTCTATTTAGAGAGTCCCAGGAATACAATGGCTAGGTCAAAAGTTATATGCAATTTTAATGTTAATAGATGTGGCCAGCTTGCTTTCCAAAAAGACTGTGAAATGAAGGAATGTAATAACTGTTCATCTTTATCTTGACTAATAATAATATATTTTAATGTTATCCTTTTGGTAAGTTAGTTATATAGCATCCAATTACATTAATTTCTTTGGCAACATATTAGAAATGTAGCTTTGGCTCTTAAATTAGCATTGTTCTGGCTGCTATCCCAAATGCTAATATTAGAATTGAAAATTAAGGGGATAAAAAAGATAAAAAAACATTATCAGTATCAGATACATATATTACATTGTTCAATATGTGATCTACCATTCTTTTAAGGCATGTGAAAACACTGCATAATATCAATTATTTAATCTTTCTCTTAGGGTTGAAACTAAGCAAAATTGTGAAATTTCTCTGTGATCCGTTTTGCATATTCACTAATTCCCACATTTCCACAATTTCTACATTTCCTTCAGCCACTCAAGACACATGTCCACATCTATTAGTATCAAAGAGAAGGCTAAATTGATGTTCTATTCTACCAGGCCTGACCAATATCAACTCTCGGGAAATTGCCAGAGATCAGAGAAATTAGAGCTTGAAAACAAGATAATATCTAGGAAGTGAAGTAACTGAAGTTAAGCCATTGTTAATTCACTATTCCATTGTTGTTGTAGCTGGACATATTTAAAGTGATTTCTAGGGGCGCCTGGGTGGCGCAGTCGGTTAAGCGTCAGACTTAGCCAGGTCACAATCTCGCGGTCCGTGAGTTCGAGCCCCGTGAGCCTGGGGCCTGTTTCCGATTCTGTGTCTCCCTCTCTCTCTGCCCCTCCCCCGTTCATGCTCTGTCTCTCTCTGTCCCAAAAATAAATAAACGTTTGAAAAAAAATTTTTTTTAAATAAAAAAAATAAATAAAGTGATTTCTAGTAAGTTTTTAATTGTAGTAGAGTCTATGCAGATATAAGTTTCATAGTTCATTGATTCCAGGATGTCTTTTTGTTTTTAACATCTCCATAATTCAGATGTCGTATAATCAGTGGCTTCTTGCACTTAATTGACAGTGTGTTTGCATTTGTAGTGGAGATAAAAAAATACACATCTTGTAATTGATGGAGTATTAGATTTCAGAGAATACAGTATTTGTTTTTAAGAGGCCCCATATTTAAACCCAGCAGAATTGAAATACAGAAACAGGAATGTGGGAGATAGACCTACTTTTAGGTAATAATTAATTAATAATTACCTAAAAAAGTCACCATCTCCTTTCAATTCATACAATAATAGTATCAGCTGCAGGTAAGTTCAATAATATTTATTCAGTACATATCCTATGACTAGGATATGCCAGTGTTTCTCATACGTGAATAACATATAGATCATTTTTAAAGATTTCCTAGCACAGATTAAGTTCACTTGTGGCATAATTTTACTCAAATATGTTAACATCAGACTAATTGTAAAATCCCATATGCTTATAGCTTTTGTGTAAATACAAAATAAAAAAATAGAAATCAAATAAAAATATGACAAAATATCCAAATTTACAATCTTAATTTAATACAACAGATGATTTTGCTCTGCTGAAACCAAATCCAGTCTCAACACATGAATGTTTTCATGAGTATTTGTGTGTCAATACTGATCTAAGCATGCCTGATGATTATGGTGAATATGGGTGCTCTATGGTGATATAATTCCTTCGTCACTTTTCTCCAGTTTAACTATGCCACACCTTCATTCATGCAGATGTCATGATATCATTTGGTCTTATCTAAAAATAAGCAAAACAATTATGTGTTAAGTTTTTAGATTTTTCCATATTAGTCCAAAACAATAAAAGCAGTAACACCTGACACCAATGTGATCACAAAAATGAATGCAAACAAAAGATATACAGTGACAAAACTTCGTGACAAATTATTATTATATGATTTCAATAATGATCAAGAATATGCTTATTATGTTAAGATTATTATAGGAATGAAAAGGAAAGTTTTGAATCCCAATAATATACCCTGTAACCACTAAGTATATATCACACACACACCTTTGAAAAACACTGAAATATACTCTTTTCTTTTTTTCAAGGTGACATAAGCGCAGGAACTTTGTTCATAGAAGCTCAGGTAAGGCTGAAGTGGGGACCGAAAAGTGAATCTAATTTGTGGATCATTCACTTTAGTGATAGGAAGTTATTCAGACAGAGTAAAAGCATCCAGAGATTGTAATGACAGGAGGTAGGCACTCTAAGCATGTGGAGGTAGTAACATATGGTCTCAAATAGCAGTTAAGCAAACTTAAAAAAAAGATTTACTTTCCTCTGGAAGAGCTGGGCAGAGCGAACTGGGGCAGGGATTCTGGATGCAGGGGTCTAGACACTGGTTTGGGAAATGAGGCAAGACCTTGGTTTTGCATTTCAAATCAGCAACATTGTCCTGAAATCTTGTGTGAGACAGGAGGTGGTCAGGAACAATACCTAGTTGCTGAGCAGAAAATTGCTATCCAAATTTGGTTAAGGAAAGCAAGATGAGGAAAAGAGAATGAGGTAAATTAGTACAAGCATGGAGCTTAGGGGATCTTGATTTAAAATCACAGTTGTAGAAAGAGAAAAATTGAAGCATGGTTGCAAAAATGAACTGCAATTTTTTTAGACTAATATCATTATCTAAAAGTTTCATACTTAAATTATTAATTGAATTTTTTTCATTTTAAAAGTTTCCGATTAAACTCAAGTGATATATAGTTATCCCATAAGATATTTTCAAATAAAATATTTTCTGATTACAAAATATTGACTCTGCATATTTATAATAGCAGTTAGATATTTAGCCTAGGTCTCCAGGTCTCTGATATTCAGGTCTCGTAAATTCTCTGAGTGACTGAGAAGAAATATTTAAGTTTTAAAAATTTGGGTAGCATTGTTCCATAGAAATAATCTATGTCAAAATAATTACTAATAACAGAAATCAGAATTACTTTAAATAATGAGACTAGGCCATGGGTATCAGAGATTATAACATAATAAAGAATTTAAAGATGCTTTCTTATGAACTTTTTTCTTTACACCATTACAGAAGGAAAGATATGGGAACAGCAAGATAGAAAGGCATAATTTATCGCTGTCTACTGATTTCAATTTATTAGCATCTGAGATGATGGGGAAGTCCTGATTCTCTACTTATCTTCTCTCTTCATTTTTAGCAAAATTCAAATGAAAAGGTTCTTTCATGTTTGATATAAAAACTCCACTATGTTTAATGGTTGTTTGTTATAGTTAGAAGCCAGACTGCACATGGTGGTGGTTTGCTGTCTCGAACATTAAGGTTAATGTGATAAAGGAGTCCACAGGTTACAGAGCCCATTGGTAATGGCATAGCAATTATCATACAGTGTGATTAGTCGTTTTATTTGAATGATCATTATAGATGTGGCTACTCAATTGAGATAAGGGTAAACAAAAGGCAACTGCACTCTCTTCTGAAATATATCTATTTAAATTCAAGGTGTAGGTACAGAATCTTGCTGATCACACTATTAGGTAATTTTGAGATAGATTACCACATATAGAGAGAAACATTAAGGACAAATTTTATGAAAAAAATGTATATTCTTTCATAACTGTCAACATCATGTATAGCAGCAAATCTGTGGTGCGTTTATTACCATTTACAAATAGTTTTACATGTCACAGTCTAAAGCCACCCCATCATACCATCAAGCATGTAAGTAGCAAAAGTAGACATTTCTGAAAGTGAAGTGACCTTTCAGAGATTATTAAGATACTTTATTTATTACAATGATATATATGTATCATAAGATATTCACTTATATATGATATTTATGATATATATGCTATATAAACAGCTACTAGAAATACAATGTGACTTTCCATATAAATGATATTATGTTACATGGGACAATTCCTATAAATGTTCCTGTTTCCTGAACTGGAAATTCAGCTTCATGATGTAGATAAAGATCTGACCATTTTTTTAGAAGTATTTTTTGAGGGAAATATTTCAGAAACCTAGCTTAGATTACTATGACTTGCACACACAAGAAAACTGTATTATCTGATTCTTTCACATAGAAAGCATCTTCCATTTCCTAAGGAGATGCCTTACTATGGTTCAGTAATAAAGAAGATTTTTATCTCTTGTCTAATAACTCGAAGTTTTGAAAACTTCAGAACATGTAATAAAAATCATACAGGTCATTAATTGTTCCCAAAATGATATGTACAGAGAATGCCTGCATCCTCAAAATATAAATGAAAAATAGCTGTAATGATAGGTGGCAAAATGAGTTTAATTTCCACACAATATTTAGTGGATATCACTTATTTTTTTCCTAATAGAATTATGTTCACACTGAATTCTAACAAATTATTAGGTGATCTGTTCCATTGAGTATATAAGTTTTGGAAATTCTTGCGCTCTTTTTCTCCCAAGACTTCCAGACTCCCCCAAGTGGATATCTGAGAAATTTAGCCAATACCTCTAAATAACTGTGACACTTCATAATGAGCTATGATCAATCCACATCAACTTTTTTTTTCCTTCTTTGTTTGAACTGAAGCATGGCACATGGGGAAATTCCCTTAGATAAATCTAGCACTCCCCTCTTCTATCCCTGTAAGTTATAATTTACTCACATGATTATCGCCTCTTATTATAAACATTCTTTTTCTCTCCCTTCTCTTCCTCTTTCATAGAGTAATATCAAACTGGCAGATTCATTTAAGGACCATATTGTAGTTTGCAGAATCATTGCTGTATAAAATGCTATCTGTGGGATACCCAGAATGGAATGCCTTGAAATCTTGACCTTCAAATAAACAAGATAAACACAGGTTGTATCAAAGTGCAGTTTGCGCTGACATAGGAGCATCAGAATGTCTGGAATCTGCTTTAACCAATTAAGCCATTCAAGGCTAGAGGAAAATAAAGCCTTCAGCAAATCCATTGAAGGCACCATCTCCCAGCATCCCACCGCCTGCTATCGATCTTTTTTAAGTGCGGACTAATGAGTCGTATATATACCTGATGGGATGCTCTCACCCTACCACCTCAGAGGAGTTAAACTTACACAAAGAGAGAATCAACTGGGTGAGAGGCAGGGTGGGAGGGCACATCCAGGAGGATGGCTGCCTTGGCCCCTTAAAAACCAGCCTGATGGTCCGTCCTCAGGGAACGCAGCAGACCCCCATCCCCTACTTTCCATAACGAACCCATTAGTTCCTTTGCAGGAGATTTTCCATTCAGGTCGCTTCTAGGGCAAACGCTTTTTGTTCGCTAGCACTCTGTGGTGGGTGGGAAAAGAACTATAGAGAAATGCAAAGCAGGGCTCGTGGCAGCAGCTTCTTTGCGGCAAAGCATCCCTTTCCGTTCAGCTTTGGCAAATTAGGAAGAACCGAGCTTCTCGGGGGAGATGGGTGAGGGGGGACGCCAGGTCCAGGAACACATTAACCAAGAGTCCCTGTTTTTACCTTCTATCCACTTCCACTCACATCGCCACAACAACCCCGCCCCCCCCCACCACCACCGCGGCCAGCACCCACCTCCCAAACTACCAACACAAACACTTGTGATCTCTACAAACGAGTGGTGGGGGTGGTGGGGGTGGGTGGGGAACATTTTCTTTCTCTAAGATTCTGGACAGGATCCAGCCTCTACCCTAAAAATACATTAAAAACAAAAAAAATCAAATAAGCCAAACCCAATGGGTCGCAACTATCGAGAGAGAGAGAGAGAGAGAGAGAGAGAGAGAGAGAGAGAGAGAGAGA